ATTCATCTGCAGCAAACTAATTTCGCCTTTTAGATGTAGGCTTCCTATTTTGTTCTCTTTTCTGCCATCTTCTGTAAACCTTTGAAACACTTGATTGACAGACGTGCGTGTGGCAGGAGTGGTGGTCTGGGTGAATGTGTGTGTGTGTGCGCGTGTGATCGACCAGTCAGAGCCATTAGCAGCGAGGCAGTGTGTGGGTGTGTGTGTGTGTGTAGGGGGGGGGGGGGGGGAATAATGCACTTAAAAGATGGCGGGCTGACTGGACCCTTTCAGACGTGCAACCTTAGATACGCTGCTTACATCCACAGTGAACGTGGAATAATGGCTTTCTGCACTCGCACACGAACGTGCTGCGAGAGTGGACGACTTTGATGGAGACTCAAAACGCTCAGGCGGTTTTTGTCAGCTAGCTCACGGGCTTAGTTAGATTTGATAAGTGCTCGAAGGTGTTGTTTATCGCAGCACGTATTCGTGTACATGTACATTTATGACATGGCTGCTCTTCATCCTGCTGTGTTCATTGTTGGGTAACTGCCCTTTCAAAGGGGCCTATTGGCATAATACATACATTTACTTCTCAAACTTTCGGTACGTTTTGATAATAAGACTTCTGTATTTTTTGAATGAATTAGATTTTGAATCTTGCATTTGAATTGTAGTATTTTCAGACGCTGGCGTTACTACTTTTACATCAGTAAAGGATCAGTAAAGGATCGTAATACTTCCGTCCGACACAGATCCGCCCTCATCCAGGTCTCCCTTGTCTGTTATGTCGCCCGCGTTCTCCCCCTTAAACGCCACTCATTATGTCCTTCAAGGTTATCGGCCCGCTTGCTGATGGAATCGCGCTCACAGACACACTTTCGTTCGCTTGCGTTGTCGTGGTAACTGCCGTGACAACGGCAAGATGGATTGAAGAGCGGCGGGAACCTGATAATGCTGCGCGGCCGCTTAGCGTTTCAAGAGGACGCGATCGGACGGGCCGATACGGCTTTTGCGTGGATTCAAGCGGCGCCCTGTTTGTCCAATAAAACAGAAGAGGACACTAGGTGGACATTAGGACCATATATGATAGTTGAAGTATTCAAATCCTTAATGAAAGTGAAAGTACGAATACTACACTATAAAACGTGCTGTTCGGGGTTAAAGCCTTGCAGTGAAAATGTTATTTAAGTAGTACACTTAAGTAGTAAGCATGCAAAGATCAGGAGAACATAATTAAACAGTCAACAGTCCTCAAAGCCCTGTGACTGCTACATTATGATATATACTATAACATTAGAGTTGTATTACCTATTTTTTAACTAATGATTATTGTAGTTATCCAGTAATATGTCTGCATTAACCAAACATTTAACAAAAATATTGAGAAATGTCACAATTACACAGAAACACAAGTCACTCCTTCACCTACACTGCTCAAAAAAATTACAACAATTAGAAAGTTTCAGCCTAAAGAGGGGTACATTTTATAGACGCCCCGAACATCAAAGTGAAAAGGCGATGTGGCAGGCTAGTCCATTTTGCTCAAATTATATTTCTGCAGCGGTGACATGCTTCTCATCATCTTGTGTGGCCCCCACGTGCTCATATGCTTGACAACGATGCGGCATGCTGATAATGAGACGCCAGATGCTGTCTTGAGGAACTGTCCTCCCAGATCTGTCTAAGGGCATCAGTGAACTCCTGTAACGTGTGCAGGAGCAACCTGGCGCCGTCTGATGGACCCAAAAACATAATGCACCAGAGGTGATGGTGAGGCCCATTCAACTGCACCAATGCCTTCATCCTCCGGGTGCTGCCTGCATACTCTTCCCCCGTGACGCTGGGCATTGTGCATCAGCAGGAACCAAAGACCTTCTGCAGCAGTGCACGGTCTGACCATCCCGATACCTGATGGCAGTCAGACTCCCCAGACCATCACTGACCCACCATCACACCGGCCATGCTGAAACATGTTGCAGGCAGCAGAGCGTTCTCCTTGGCTTCTCCAGACCATTTCACGGCGATCACAGGTGCTCCGGGCCAACCTGCTCTCACCCGTGAGAAGCACCAATCCTGGTGTTCTGTAGCAAATGCCAATCAAGCTCCACAGTGCTGGGCAGTGAGCAAAAGTCAAAATTGTGAGAATAGAATGTGTTCTTTCAATGGGAAGTCTCACCATCTAAAATGCAATGACAACTTGGCACGCTGCACCTTCTGCTAAAGACAATGGCACACAAATGAAATCTCTGGAAATCTTCTAAATAGAACAATGCGTTTTGTCAAACCACTGTTTTGAATCTAAAATAGAAATGCTCCAATTCAACTTCAACCAAGTGCGTAAAACTATTTAAAAAAAACCTGATTTGGTCTTTAAGTTAAAAGTTCTGGACTGATTTGGCCTCCTTCCTGACCTCTGGCCAGGTTTTCACAAAAACTGTAAGGAATTTGTGCTTAAATGGATGAAAAACATCTAAACACTAACCCTGAACACAATAACTGTAGTCCATCTGATTTAGTACAACACGATGCAGTTAGCATTCATGCACAAACCTCTTGCTCGGCGTGGGCTTTCGGCCTTCCTCTGGCTGCTGGTGGGCTATTCCAGGTCAAGCATACCTTCTAGTCCGCTTCAGAGAGGTTGACTGGCGCTTTAAAATCCTACAAATACTTTGTTGATGTTAAAACTACAGGTCAACATATCTGATGGCGTGGTCCTGCAGCGATTTGTCTCCGAAAAACCCAGCCGGGTCCGATGGCTCCAATACGGATTATCGATCAAAAGGACGGAAATTGATCATTTTAGGGGTTCTTTTTTTGGGGAGGGAGGGGTGTCCAAAGCCCTTTTCAGAGGCTAAGAACTTTTTCTCTCTCGTCAAGCTCGGAGCCGAGGCAGAGCTTGTCCCCATCCACCAGCGCCACTGTGCTGGATGTTTCTTGATTTTCTCTGGCGCTGCAGCCCCAAGCCAGACAGACAAAGGAGGGGAAGCCATGCCAAGTCTCTCCGCGGCCGGCGCGGCTCTTCGCGGTCCTTTCTCTGCTCCCTCGCTCTTTCTTCGCCGGCTCACGATTGTGGCAGCGTTCCACAAGGAAGATTTGGCCACGCTCCAGAATGTCTGGCTCTCTCCGTCTGAACCGTTCCAGCCGTCCCGACCGTCCTTCTCGCGTGTTGGAGCCACCCCTCCCTCATCCGACCCTCCCCGGTCCCAAAAATACCCAACACACTTTGGAAGAATCGATCGGGAAAAAAACCAAAAAGATGTTAAATACTCTGAGTATTTGCTCCTCACATCTAGCCGTTGCTTTCAGTCAGATGAACAATGAACCGCAATAAGACCGAGTCAATATCCCCTCCACGCAACCTTTACACTTCCTACTGCTTACGGTGATCTTTCGCTTTTTAATGTTAGAGGATGGTGTGTGTGTGTGTGTGTGTGTGTGTGTCTTTTGTCCACTGTCAGTGCAGATCTATTTATCATGTGCCAAGACTCTGTGCCCTCACTTGTAGTGAAGAGGGGCATTTTAGTGCCAAATGCCCCAACTGCCAACTTGGTGCTGCTGGCGGTCTGTTTGCATTTTTTTTTTAACTCCCTATCTCACACAGCACAGACATACACACACTTAAAAAAATCCATTTACACATTAAAGTGACAATTATGATTTAGAATGAATTAGTAAATCGCAGCTTCTTACATCTGATATGTCATGCTTCATATTCTCGTTCAATGGTTTCAATGTTACATTACATTACATGCCATTTAGCTGACGCTTTTATCCAAAGCAGCTTATAATAAGTGCATTTCAACCATAAAAGAAACAAGAAAGTGCAATTTCATCAAATGTTCTGATCTTTATCTTTATAGATTTAGGGACAATAACAGCATTCTGTTGATGTATTCAAACTTAAATATTGATTTTGAGAGTAATTCATAACTAATAAAACAAGATGTAGTACTTTTCTGGTTTTACATGAGTTGGGTTTACTGATGTTTGAAGTAATAAAGGATGAGAAGAACTGGCAGCCGTTCACTCAGGGTGGCTGCATTAAAGCAGAATGGGTCATGTGAGTGTCAGAAATACAATGAATGGAAAATATGTATTCGAACCATTAAATATGGATTTATTTACATTGAACTTGGGTGTGCATATTTCTTGGATATGGATAGTGAAGACCTAATTTTCTATTTCCAATAGAGAAACTAATAAATGCTATATTTATAAGCCATATAATTCCAAACTTCTGACTATACAATCTTGCCATATTACGTATGATTAAAAACACTTGAATCCCATGTTGACAATTTAATAAAAAACTCTACAGAATGATAGAAATGAAACATGAAATGCATGTGCATGGCCATCTCACTATTATTAAGGGATTCTCATTTGCATTCACAAGCTAACGAGGAATATATAAAGTACCTACATTTTCGCCACATTTTTTTTTGCAACATTAAAAAGAGCAAATAGTTATACATAAATAACACCTCATTTTGAAAGGGGAGATTTTGCATTAGTTTTCTTACCTGAAGTATGTTTAAATGTTAAAACTTGTGTTCTTGTAACAGTTTTGTAACAAAGTATGTCACCACTGTGTTGTAACTACTTCCTGTGAACATTCAAGGAAGTGAAAGCAATTATACTGCAGTAAAAGTATAGACCACCCATATATTGGGATCATAATCAGGTTACATTATATGTGGTATTTTAAACAGGGCATGTCATATCCACGCAGCACTAAAGATACAAGTACTATGTTGCGCATGCGCACTAGCGCCAGCAGGTGCTAACTTAACACATTAAAGTTTAGCTAACTTACTTGCCTTAAGAACGTCTTTATAGGGAATTTAGTTCCGGTCGTTTGAGGAAGGCAACTCCGTAAATGTGGCCACGAGATGACAAGAACACCAAATAAACCATCAAACATGCGTTTTTGGTTCGCTACGCGGTGTGTCAAAACATTAACTGGAAGTAATAGCATTCTTGCTAAAGAGGCTAACGTTCAAAAGCTAGCTTACCGGATACTTTGATGGCTTCGGTCCGGCCGGGAAGCGCTGTCGCTTGAGTCGGCATTTGGGCTTTGGAGCCCATCTCTCCCATCCCACTGTTGACAAAATGACGCCAAATCAGACGGAGCCTGGAGGCGGAGACCATTGACACGGCAGCAGCACCGACACACTCCTGCTCCACACCGACGGCTAGCTCGGCTAGCTCAGCTAGCGTAGCTACACAGCAGCGACCTTACTTACCTAACGTCAACGCGAGGCTTGTGTAAGGTCGAGGTGCCCACGTGTTACACAACAGTGACAATAAACAAAACGCCCTGCGTGAATGGATCACGTTCGCACGTAGTGAATGACATTAACATTAGTCTCTGAGGACCTAATCAGGAAACCGATTCCAAGCAGTAAATGTTTGGTAAAATTATGAACTTTCTCCTCATTTTGTTGTTCGATTAACTATCTAATGTGCAGCACGTGTACGCCGAATTTACTCATACATGCAGATTCAATATGTGCAATGTTTCCAATGAGTATAATTACACGTGATACAATTATGAATGGGGTTTGACATTGTTCAAAGTCCAATAGCTTTGCTTGAGGAAAATCACCATAGACGTTTTCCAACTGTATTTCAGTGAAGGTGTTTCAAATTTTGCTGCTTATTAAATTCATTTTTTTTTTTGCTTACTTATGAAAGTATGAAAATTATAATCAGCGTTCGACCCATAATCTTGACCGAAATAATGGCATAATACTCAGTTGAAGCCACTGGCCTATTTAAAAGCCTTTAGTATTAGTTTTGACATACAAGCACAGCTTTCACACATAAAGCCGTACAACACAAGCAAAGTAGAAAGATGAAGCTGTGGTGTACTAACTTGTGATTTCACCTCAATCAACGTGTGTTTGATTGAGGTGAAATCGTGTTTCTGTTTCCTTCCCCCTTTTCAGATGATGTTTCATATTAGTCTTTCCAGATACCCATCTTGGTTATCAAACAAAACCCCTGTTATTAGTCAATTAAGGTAAATGTTACGCATCTTAACGTGCTGTGCTCAAATTATCATTGTGGAATTTATATGAATAAACTGACCCCCAGACACTAAAAGCAAAACTTCAAGGTAGAACATACAGGATAACAGCACTATACGGGGTATCGTGAAAATAAACACTATAAATGAGAACATCAGTTGATCAAATATAAGCAGCATAGAAAACGTGTATGTGTAAAACCGTGCGCACCATCCCGTGTTATTAAGAATATCAAGGCTTGTGCGTGGTTTGTTTAAAGAGAGCCGGGCTCTTTCAGATGGAAGCCACGGATTTCATGGATCAGACGAGAGCACAGCCCCCCATCACTCCACCGGTTTGCAGTATACGCTGAGTAGGAGGGACGGCTAAGGGGGAATAGATGACGAGCGATAAGGAGCCATGGAGGAAATGTTGCTCGCGTCGGCAAAATATAAACGACTTTCACCCTTTGACAGTAACGGCGAGGGTCATCTATAATTCAGAATGAAATGACAATTTCACATTCCAGCAGAGAGGACGGGAGCAGATGGAGTTTAACGTGCATGATGTTTTAAGGGAAGTGGTGGAATAAACATGTACTTTTACGTTACTTTGCTTGAGCACAATTTTGACATTGAATTAAAGTCAATCCTCTCATAGATGATAAATCAAAGCATTGTCTCCTTTTGCATATGCATTATATAATGCATATAATATAATGCTATGCTCTGTGTAATATGGTGTTTCCTGAAACCATTTCAGTGAAACCACCGCATTAACAACGGCTAAGTACAGAGTCGGATGTTTCAATTGGTTTGCTTTGTGAGGCAGATGCTCTCACTCTTTTTTTCCTCCCTCCATCCTCAGGAGAGGATGACAAGCGGAGGGAGGACAGAGCTGGAGCTCCATCTGACTCCCTCTCCTACGGAGGACCAGCCCCTCCCCTCCTCCTCTCTCCTCTCTCCCTCTGACTGCGCCCAACTTCTCTCACTCCATCCTTCCATTCGGCTACTGTATCCACCTCCCGACTGCACCCAGCGCACACGACACCTTGTTTCTGAGGGGTTGAGATATCGCCTGGCTCTAGTTCTCTTCTGGGTTTGGACTATTTTGTGCATGAAGATGTTTTCTGCAGAGAATTTAAAAAACAAAAATCTCATTTTTTTTTTTCTTCATTTTTTTTCTCCAAGTCAGCTGCAGAAGAAGAGCGGTGCGACCTCCGCATCCCCCTCAACATCCATCCCCGCGCATCCTCAGCATCCCTGCGTGGACCTCCAGAGGATGACTCCGCGGCACCGCGCCGCGCCGCGCCGCGCACATCAGGGCGGCTGGAGAGCGTTCTATCGCCGGACGAACAGGAGCTCCGGGCATCGGTGTGTTTTACGGAGGTCTCAGATGCATCAAACGTCGGTAACCGTCCGGTGATGGTCACAAAAAATAGATAGCTGCGCAATCTCTCCATCAAACAAGCGATTTATGTGTTCGGTCATTTAAGTAAATATCTTATTTGAGTCTTTCATTCATTTCCAATATATATCATTTTCAGGCCTTGTGGTTTTTAACCCCCCCCCCCCCCTCCCCTCTCTCACCCCCCGTCCCCCCTCCCCACCAGCTCCTTTCATCTGCGCTAAATCCGCTCCTGCAGCAGCCGCAGTGGGCTGTCGTACTCTGCGGAATCTCTGTGTGCGTTTAATTATTATTTTTTCAGTTTGACCAAAATGCCACATGCACACACTAAGTACACCGAAACGCATCCTTAATGTAATATATGCACATTTATAATATTATAATAGCAATAGACTCGTCGTTTTTATTTCATAAAACAAAAACCAAAAAAATGTAATTAATATGTAGTATGTTATAATATAAGTTATTGAAGATATTCCGTGTAATTGTAAGAATTGTAGACATTTTTAACGCAGGCTTTGACACAAACGCCCGACCCCCACAAAGGCAGCCCCCCCCCCCCCCCCCCCCCCACTTTCTGTCACCGGCTAACGGCTTCGGATTAAGAGGGATAAAAGACAGACAGTCCATGTGTCCAATCAGAAAGGTCCGTCCTCTGCTTCCTGCTATGAGGCCCTACCCTTTCCGTAAGAAGTTAATGTCGTTGTGCGTTCCTATTTGCCCTTGTGTTTCGCACTTCAGGGCCACCGTAGTGGTAGGAGCATCCATCGCTCGTCGCAATCTTTGGAGGCGTTATACGCAACTCCGACTGGTGGTCGCAAGGCTACAGGCAAAAGCGTCACTAGTCTAGTTACCTTGGTGTTTGCATCCAAGGCAGCAAGCCTGCGCTGTGAAAAGATGAAAAATGACTGATCACAGGCTGATCCCGGGACTCAATGACTGTGTCATCAGAGCTCACAACTGACTTTGTTGTTATAAAACACTCCACTTGTGCGAGACGGAGGATATCCAGTGTGAATCACTGCCTCTCAGGGTTAGTAAGGATGAAACAGAACAGTGAGTGTTTTCTGTAGTTCATGGCTTCTGCTGCTTGTCATATATGCCAGCAAAAATATGTGCAAAAAC